CTGGAGGAGCCAGTGCTGGGGCCTGTCACAGTGTTCCCACCTGGAACAGCCCAATGAACCAGGGGCAGGCTGTGTCACACACTGTGGTCTCTTGTGCTAAGGGTGCTGGGCTTCTCCAGGGCACGAGCTAGTGTGGCCTACAGAAGGTTTTGTACTCAACTGTCCAGCCAGAGGTCCTTTCCCAGGTGGCTTTTTGCCATAGACAGAGTCCCTGACCTGTGTGTCCCTCCCCTCTGTCCCCAGAGCCCAAGGTGGTGTTTGCTAAAGAGCAGCTGGCACGCACCGAGGTGAAGGCCGAGGCGGGGGCCAGTGCCACTCTGACCTGCGAGGTGGCCAAGACCCAGACACAGGTGACGTGGTACAAGGATGGGAAGAAGCTGAGCCAGAGCTCCTGGGTGTGAGTGGAGTCCTCTGACTGTAAGCGGCAGCTGGTTCTCCGCCTGGACATCACAGGTGGGTGATGCTGGGCTTGGGTGAATGGAGGGAGGGTGGTAACTCTAGGGCACCTGTGGCAGCCTAAGCTCTGTGAGGCCTGTGTCCTTCCTGACTTGGGCCTCAGCATCTGTGGCCCAGCTCTGGGTGGAGTTGGGCACTTGGGATTGCTTGATACTGGAGACCATGTCCTGCAGGGGCAGGGGCTCCCTCTACCTGCCCGAGCCTACTTACTAGGCCCAGAGCTCCAGAAGCCCTTGCTTGGGCCCTTTGGAATCCTGCATGTTCATCTGTCCTTCCCCCATCTCCTTCTCTTCCCCACTGTAACCTGTCCCTGAGCCTGGGTAGGGGCCACATGGGACTCAGAGCCTCACTCCCGATTGCCCACCTGGTGCTGGACACTCTCCCAGTGACTTGCCTAGTGCTGTTTTTTTTTTGATGGATACAGAATGACAGTTCTCTGATGATTGGTACACACTGGCACTTGGCTGTCTGCAGATTGGTTCACACTGGCACTTGGTTGTCTGCTGATTGGTCCACAGTGGCACTTGGCTGTCTGCTGATTGACTGGCACTGAGCTCTGTGCTAATTTGCCCCATCTGGTACTGAGTTGTCTGCTGACTGGCCCACACTGTTACTGAGCTCTGGGCTGATTGGCTGGCACTTTACTCTCTGCTGATTGGCTTGCACAGGCTCTGAGGTCTCTCCTGATTGGCCAGCACTGGCAGTCTGGTCTCCTGCACTCCTTTGGTAGCTGGGGTCAACAAAGATGTGGGTTTCTGGTTTGTTGCAGGCAAGGAGGACGCCAGGGTACAGCTGTAAAGGCTGTGGGCTGCTGTGTCTGCCTTCCCTTGCTTTTGTGCCCCCTGCGTAGTGGTAGAGCTGGGAAGCCACTGATGGGCTGGGGTCCCAGGGATGAGAAGGGTCATGGTCTATTCCCAATGGCTAGGAGGGTATTTGCATCAGGAGGTAGGCCTGGCTGTGGTGGCCTTGTTGGCTGTGACAGTGCAGTTACCTGCAGGATCAGAGTGGATCAGAAAATGCTTAGGGCTCTGATGAGGACAGGCTGCCCAGCTGTTCACCCACCAGCCTTGGAGTTTGCAGCTTGGGTCATGTGTAGGATAGAACTTAGGCATGGCCATGCAATGTTATGCTCATGATAGACACTCTGCTTGGCCATCCCTGGGGTGGGCTTAGGCTATGAGACAGTGCTGGGTCTG